TTGAACCCAATGCTAGATTCAGTTTCCATGCTCTTAATACTACCTAAGCTGTCAGGTGAGTTCCCTGAAGAAACATCATAAAGATGGAAAACAAAATGGGTCATTGAAAAACATTGGAGTTGTGATCCTGTCCGTGAATCTTAAATGATACAGTGAGCAACATGATCCTTTTTCCTGTTGCTTTCATCAAAGGAATGTAGGATACTTCATTCGTTTCAAAAATTTGTGAATAAAAGATGCTGCACACATTTATTTCTTAGAATGGATACAATATACTATCATCAAACTAGTTTTTGCTGAATAATCTATTCCTGAACAGAATGAATCAATAACCTGGACTTATTTCCAATTTATGAGATGAATATTTAAACACCACTATGTATTTCTGCTCTTATCATTTTCAAGGATATTGGTTTCATCTAGCTTAAATATTCTTTCCAAAAATGTGGGGAGTGTAGATCTATATTCACCATCTTATGCTGTAAACAGTGCCTCTTTAGAGTAGTGCCCTAGAGTACAAGCACCACACAGGGTAGCAGAACGTCTCATTCCTCTTCTCCTCTCTCCCTTCCAATGTTTGTATCAGACAATGGTCCAAGCATCTCCCTCAGTACAGGGGAGGAAATGTTTTCTTTTTAAGTCCAATGGGCTGAAACTGTTGGAACATGCTATTTCTTCCTCTCTTGGGTTGAAGCTGGAAAGCTCCACATATACTGACCAAACCTTTGTTTGTTTCCAGAATGCATCTTCTGCAGCTGCTGCTCTAGAATCCATAGGCTTAGTGTTGCAGCTGAAAACCAGAGCCCCAAAAGATGCCTCATTCATCAGGATTTAGAGCCTGGGGGAACAGCTTCCTAAAATCGTGGCAGTCAGGAGACACATCCTCCCTGACTTTTATTTATGTCTCTCCTCACCAGAAGCCAGAGGGCCTGCAGAATGTCCACTAAGAGTCAACTAGCAGTCCCACTTAACTAGAAGTGATACAACTCAAGCTCAGTCATCTCACCTGTTCTTGTCCTGAGACAGATCCCTGCCTAGACTGCTGTGGATGCTCCTTTCATTTTGGATCCATGAAGTGAAAAGCTCTTCAACAAACATGACAATTTCTTAGCCTCACTTCTACTGCCATTTCTTCCCCCCAGAGACCTGTCTCTTCTCATGTAAAAGTGACTAGTTCCCTGCAGCAACCTGGAAGCCCAGCATGCCAGGAAGGGAGCCACACCCCATCTCCCTGGCTGAGGCCAAGTTCAGTCACAGCACTCAGTTTTGTGTCATTGGCAGGCTTGTGGAAGTTCTTAGCAGAATGATGATGATGATGGTGGTGATAATAGTCAACATTCATTGAGTGTTTATTTTTCATGCACATAATCAGCACTCAGTGAATGGCCCTACAATCAACAAGATAAATATACAGGTTTTAAATGTACCTCATATCCTCAGGCATTTCTGGGAGATAATACCATTAAATTTCCGTTATACAGACTTTGAAACTGAGTCTGAACATGATGAAATAACTTGTCCCAAACCATATAGCCAATAAGGGTCAGATCTTTGAGACTTAAGAGTCTAAAGTGTCATCTTCAGATTGGGTTAATGAACCTAAAAGTACCACAGCATAACTATATAAAGTCATTGCTGAATAAAAACAAATCTCATAGATGATGATTCATTTCAAGACTAGCTTCTGTAAACCTTCTTTCCTGTATTTATTTCCTTTCTACTTTCCAGTTATTCTACCTTTATTCCATTATCCTTTTTTTTTTTTTTTGGCCTGCCTTGTGCCAGGCACCAGTCTGTGTCCAGGGCATATAAAGAGGAACAAGATACAGGCCAGGCCCAGCAAAGCTTAGATCCAGAAGCCAAGCCTGAAAGCAGGTTCCCCTGAGAAACCTCAAGTCTCTCTGTCTAATGAGATGGAGAAGAGGGTGCTATTGCCCCATACAGTACACTGCTCTGTCTTTGCATACAGGAAGGGGGCTGTCTGTGTTCCACCTAGGGGTGAAGTTAAAGGTTCTAGTACCTGAACTTTTACTGCACGTATAGTCAGTGCAACACTCACTCAACTATACTGATGTGAGTTCATGTTTTCCTCCTGAGACCACTGTTTTAAGGGAGAAACAAAAAAAATCTACATTTTGAACTCAGTAGCTCTATGGTCTTAATTTCCCTGACTCTTAGCTTCTTTGCTTTATTAAAAAAAAAAAAAAAAAAGAGAGAGAAAGAAAGAAAGAAAGAAACAAACAAACAAAAACAGAAGGATAACAATACCTGCCCTGTTTACTTGGAAAGAATGAGATAAGATCAAATGAAGGTATAATGCAGGCACAAAGGGGACAAAATGTTATGGAAACATGAAGGCTTTTGTATATTTTTAATGTGAAATTTAAAGCTGAGTAATGCCACCTACCTACCTGCCCCCCTCCATAAGTGCCCACATGAGTGGTCCCTGTGTTCCAGCCATATCTAAATGAATCTTCTTTGGAGTACCCTCAACTCCTCTACCTTCCTGCCTTTGCTTACACTTTTTCTTTGGCCTAAAGTGCCCTCTTCCCATCACTGTCTGTTGACTTGCTTTCATGATCAAATGCCATATCCTCTAATCTGAAATAGTGACTCTTGTCTCATCTGCACCATTAATCACACTTAGCACCATGACTAGACCTAAGGTTATCTACTTCTTAGCCTCTCTACCTTGATATGCCTTGTAAATTTGTAAATCCTCAATAAAATGTTTGTTGACTCAAATTCTGCTTCTCTTCTCTATGCCCTTTCCTGCCTGTCACCTGACACCGTACACCTAATGAACAAACTGGCATTAGTGGGTACCCAGTGCATACATCCCAGGGAGCTTTAGGGACAGCAAATTACACAAACAAGTCTTCATAAATCAAGGGAAGTTACCCTTTACCTTTAAGTTAAATCAAACATCACAAGGAAGTATATGAAATTTACCTGTACTGAGTGGAGCATCAGAGCCCAAGAAGAGAGTATCTCCCAAAATGCAGACTGAGAACCAGTGGGGTTACCCAGATGATTTTAGGTGACACACAGGTGAACTTTTTATCAAATATAATAGTTACATAACCTGGTATGTATTAAGAAAAAATAAAATTAGCACATCAAACCTATGACTTCATTAACATTCTTTAATAAATGTTTTTGCATTTGAATAAAAATGAGCTGATTTAATGAAAAACATTACATAAATAATGGTATAGGATATGGCCAAATGATGTGATGATGGTGCTCCATGGTTAGGAAGCATAAGGACAGACAAATACTTTTAGGAGTGCAGAGATGGAGATCAGGATGAAGAGGTAACTGTTCTATGGACCAGGTCTATTGGTAGCCCCAGGAATCAACAAACCTGTATTATTATGTAAATCCCTTTGTTTAAAGGGCAAAATGTAAATATAATGTTTTCTCATCATTATTGTTCCTTTGTTGGAATGAAAAAATATGCTGGTGAATGTCAACTCACACATCAAGCTTTGCAGCATTGGCCACCAAGTTTCATAATGGCCATGGAGGTTTGCACCCATTCTCTAGACTGTCAGATACAAAGGGCCTTATTATGGGTTTGCTTTTCCATTTTTTTTTCTGCAAAGCACAACACTTTACAAAAAGAAAACACATCGAAGGCAGTCCTTTTCTTGCATACATTTCAGGGCTCCATTTGAGATCCACATTCATCTTCCTTATCCAATTACATGATCAAAGTAGAAGTGTTTGGCCTACTTTAAGGCTTTAAAGACATCAGGGAAAAACTAAGAACATTTAAAACTACCTTTTTTAAGCCACACATCTTCCACCAGAAGAACTGGAATCCATCCCACCATCCATGCACGCCCCTCCCCGCCCCACTTATCTAGTCTCTAGATACAAAAAGTCAAATCAGAGAGTTAACATGCTCTAATCATCCAAACTATAAAAGATTCAGTTACATCTCTGTAAAATCCAATCTAATCTCAAGTCAGTGTGTCTAGTGTACTTTTTGCTCTCTATACTGCAACAAAGTCCCTTCCAGTACCTATTGCAAAACTCTTGATTTTACTGATTAGTTTTAAAGACCTTGTAATTAATAAAATAAAAACTGTAAAAAAAAAAAACAACCCTGAAATATTACTTCATTTTTCTCCCCAAAACTACTGGTTCTAGCTCATCGGTTCATTTTAATGCTACAATATGGAGTTCATATTTCCTAAAATAGGGCGCACCTTGTTCTTCATATTAACACTCTGGGATTTGAGGACCTGGTTAAAAAAAATAGCAAATGCAGCGTCCTCAAAAATATTTAAGTGAGCCAACTGCCTATTGGTGGATTGATTTTTCTCTATGGAAATAAATCTGTCAGCAGCCACCAGAATTGGGGTCTAAAAGATGACCTTGGGCAGCTGCTACCATTTGTTTCAGTGGGAAAATGAGGGTTTTTTTCTCTCCCCAGGGGTTAATACTGTGGTGCTCTAAGCATTGTCTGGGCTCTGATTCTGAAGGGTTACACTGGAGAGGAGGAATACTTTGTGGTTTATGACAAGATCACAGCAGAATATTTTGTGCATGCTGTGATTTGTATTGCCCATTTGTGCACAGGCCATAAAAGTGCACTTTTTATCAGGAGCATTTGTGACTATATAACAGCACTGAAGACATATGGCCACTAAATAATTCACAGTTATATATCTCCTCAGCAGATTCCTTATACACCTACCATGTTTTAATGCCTAGTTTGCTCAGAAACAATATTCTTTATGACCCTTCCAATATAAAAATGTTTACTGACTGGCAGCAATATACTGATACCATGGGATTGGGCTGTAAGGAAAGGGAAAGTTTTCTTCTTTCTCTACCTCTCCATGTCCTCATTTGTTTCTTCTGAACTCTTCCAGGCTAACCTCACAGGAGAAGGTGCCCTCCTCAAATGTGGGTGCTAACTTCTGACTTCTGGTATTTGGGCTATAAAGGGAAGTCACTGACTAACCTTCACTCTCTTTTCTTTTCAGTTCTATATCCATTTACAGTCCCAAGGAGAATCCAAATGCGTTTGATGCTGCAGCATTCTTCCAGTCCGTGGGGAATTTCCTGGGGATCTTCGCCGGCTCGTTTGCAATGGGGTCTGCATATGCTGTGGTCACGGCACTGATATCCTTTGTATGTGTGTGTGGAAATCTGAGGACTGTTAAGAGCTGTCAGTGTCCCTGGAATGTTTCTGAGGATGGACAGTCTCTAGGTTAGGAAGTGGCTAGATAGTCTGGTTCAAGTGTGATACAATTCCACTGGGGCCATCTTAGTTCTGATTCGTCCTTGAGGCATAGTTGGGTATCAGCAACAGAGGGACCCAAGTTCTTTTCTTGACCAAGACCTGTTCTGGCACCACTGATACTACCTGATCCTGTGAAAGCAACAGTCTTAAAAAATTGCCAATAGCTGGGCATAATCTGGATTGGCTATATTAAGGCCAAGAGGGAAAGCTGAAGATCCAAAGTCAAGAACAAGACAGGACTGGGAGTGATTAACTGGGTATCCTCTTCTTCCTTTTCAAGCTTCTGTCAACCAATACTAGTTCACAGGGCTGGCCAAGCCAAAGATCACCGTAGGTTTAAACAAGCATTTCAGGCTATTTTACAGAAGAGGACCTGAAAGCAAGGCAGAAATGCCATGTTTGCCATATCTGGGCAATCGTGTCATCTCATTCCCTCTTGTGCAGTAGTGGGGTAGGAGAATGGATAGAGTTCCTAGACGATTTGAGCCAGAGATTGAAGCTGGTCTAGTGAGAAGTTCAGTCAGAGCAGTTGGATGGAACAACAACAACAAAAAAGTCAGAATTGAGGAAAAAAGTCAGAAAGTCAATGTCAGATGTGAGAGTTATCAGAAGACATCCAAAGAGGCAGGACAAAGGATCAAGACCAAAGATGTTGGGGAAAAGAGAAATAAGAAGGGAGCAAGATGAGTCAGGGCTCTAGAAAATAAAGCAAAATGTTAGGTACTTTTTCATGGATACTGGCCCACAGTAGAGATTCATTGAGCAGCTGCCAAAAGGTTAGGTTCTACAAAAGGTTTCTAACATGAGTCAGAAGATGAATAAAATATGGACTCTGCCTTCAATTAGTAACAAACTGGGAAGGACAAGCACTGCAATAAGAGTTGTTTGGAAGGTGAGTGTCAAAGCCATACCCAACTTATTCAGACTCTAAAAATTCAGATGTGGTTGGGTCCATTGTTTCTGGAATAGTCCAATAGACCCTTGACCAATCATATAATTCTGAAAAATAATTTGAAAAGCAGTATTTACATGCAGAGAGGGGTATAGGCTTGGCCTGAAATAAAGGTAGGATATAGACAAGGCTATGTGATAAGTGATTCAGGAGAAAACCAGCATTCATTAAGGTGTAGGGAGAAGCTAACGTGGTATACACAAATATGCCTGAGAGGACCACAGGGCTCAGGCTGGTGAGAAGTGGAAGATAAGACAGAAATGGGTTGGAATCACCTCTCAGAGTATCTTGGAGTGTTATTCAGAGAAATATGAGCTTCATTCTATAGTCTACAGTTAGCTCCTGAAGGTTTCTGCTCAGGAGAGTGACATATTGAAAGACTTGTTTTTAAACAATAAATAAGAAACAGGTTCATAAGATTAATCATGTAAAGAAGATTAGAATCATCAAGAAGGAGACTAATGCTTAGAAGAATCTCTAGGACTTAATGATTGGAAGAGGAGAGACTCAAAGGCCACTCACAAGTTCCGTCCCAGAAACCCTAGAGAGTATCAACTCCATTGACAAAGAAATAAAGTAACTCAGAAAAAGTAGGGGTGATTCCTAATAATTATAATGATTAATAATCTAATGATTAATATCAGCACTTATGATATTTGTTTTACACGCTATACCTCATTTATCCTCACAATGATCAGATCATGCAGATCCTAATTTTATTGGATACTGAAAGGCTAAGGTAATACCCAGTGTCCTGCTGCTGGTAAGAATTGGAGCCAAAATTCAAACCCAGGAATTGAAACTGAGAGAAAGACCAAAAGACAGACCATGCTTTTGATCACTAATCCCTGTGATCAAATATATATATATATATATATATATATATAGTGATCATTTGAATCAACCCTGTAAGATAGGCTATTATTACCTCATTTAACACATGAGGAAACTGAGGCTCAAGGAGGTTAAGTAGCTACTCTGGGCCATATATCAATAATAGCAAACACAATTAATATTAGTATTATAACATTTGTTGAGAACTTTACCATTTGCCAGCCATTGTCATTAGCATTTTGCTAATGGATTTTCTCATATAGCTTTTATAATAACAATGAGAGGGAGATACGGTTATTATCTCAATTTTACAGCTACAGAAACTGACACATAAAGGTTAAACAACTTGTCCGAAGCCATACAGCTAGGACATTTCAGGGCCAGGATTTGAACCCGTGCCTTTTGACTCCAGAGCCTGCACTAGGTGGAAGAGCTGAAAATGGAACTCTTCTCCACTTGGCGTGAAGGGAATGTAGGGACACGTAAATAAATAAGTTAGTAAAGGAAGGGAAAAAATTCCTGGAGTGTGGAAGTCTGCCATGAGATTGGATCAGATCTGGAAAAAATGGTAGGAGAGATGGAAAGGACAGGGGCTCAGTTTCAGTGGGAGGATCTGTCACACAGCATTGATGGTCTTGCCTCTCACAAACTGAGGCTACAGAGACGACAGGTGCGCAAGCATTCCCTCCATCATAATAACCTTGATATCTTGTCTATAAAGAGGCAATGCTACTCAGGGTATAGGCCCCTGGGCTCTATGCAAGCTTGGGTCTTGACCAGAACTGAACTATCTGGAAAAGGTTGAAAGAGGAGAATGTCCTGTGTCCACTTGATATACCATTACTCAGTGGCCTAAACCTTCTCTACAATAAAGTAGAAGAGGAAATTCAGGAGAACAAACTCCAGTAAAAACAAAGCCTGCTCTCCAAGTCACAAGAGGGAATGCTGGAAAAGAGTCAAAGGGTAGCCCATGTTTTCTTCCAGATAAAGAATTGCTCCTAGATATTTACTGAATATGATTCCAGGAAAGATATTTTACAAAATAAATTAACTTAAATCACACTAATAGAAAAATTTACATATTCCTTATTGCATACCAAGCACTCTTTTGAGTGCTTAATGCATAATGACTGGTTTACATACCTATAAGGTAGGTTGCATGATTATCCACATTTTCAGACAAGGAAACCAAAGCACAAAATGGCTAAGTAACATGGCAGATAATCTTATACAATGAAGTGGAGTTGGCTTCCAGAGGCTGCACTCCCAACCATGGTGTTATTCTGCCTCTCTCCTTGGTACTTTGTGCTTTCTAAAACTTTGCAAAAACATTTTCAATATTCATCTCATTTTCCTCTGCACACTTGGGTGCAGATGATTCACATAGGATAGAAATGAGGCTCAGAGAGATTAACATATTGCTCAGAAATCAGACAGCCAACAACTAGCAGAGCCAAGACTCAGACCTTGATCTTCTGCCCCAGGGGTCATTCTTTTTGCTTCCCTGCCCTACTGCTAAACATCTCTTAATGTGGAATCTCTTTAGATTTTTTTTTCTTGAAGCATAAAAATGCCACATAAGATTTCCTTATTTGTCAGGGCATTTTTTTTTTTTTTTTTTTTTTTTGCTTAACTGTAGACATAGTTGTGACATCTCAGCCAGAATGAACCATTGCCTGCCACAGGGCTTCTTGCCTGACCTAGAAACGGTATACCTTTTCCCCTAGCCTACTTATACTAAGAGGGCATGGATAGCTTCCCTGTCACTGAACGTAAATGTTCCTCTGATCCTATTTGCATCACCAAGAGAGGAGTATTTAAGGTGATCTGTCCACAGATTATGGCTTTCCAGGGAGCAGTGGCCTCCTTTGGTGCTGACGTACTTGAAGCACCTCACCCTGCCTCAATCTCCATGGCTGTTTTCTCTCATCTGCTGCAGACTCCCGAGAGGCACACCCTAAGGACGAACACCAAATTCAGGAGGTTTTGTACCCATAGTTAGCTGATTTTATCTTCTTAGTAAAACACCTTTTTTTTTTTTTTTTTTATCAGAACACAGGTTTGCATTTTTACTGAAGTGTTCAGCCCCCATTGAGGCATGGAACTCATGCTGGACTTCAAAGCAGTCCCAATGAGAACTACAGCCTCCCAGTCAGGTCTGAAAATCAGTGCTCTTTTTCGAAACTGATCACAACCAGATTAGTTTTCCTCTGCCAAGAAGGAGATTTTGCTGTCAAAGCATTTGTTGTTTCCCTTAACGTGTCTTTGTCACTTGACCAAATTTACCAAGCTGTGTGAGTTCCCTATGCTGGAAACAGGCCTGTTTTTTCTCCTGTCTTGGAGTGCCTTCCTGTCTGCTGAGGCTGCCGGCCTGACAGGTCAGTGCTACATTCTGCACACCAAACTGGATGTGTGATATGTGGGTGTGCCCCCACACGTACCCCTGCCTGACCCAGCAGGAGGTATGACGGACTCCCTCTTAGATGGGTTTGTGTATGAATCAGCTTTTGCTGGGTACCCTGAGGAGGGGGGAGAGGGAATAATAGTTCATCCATGTTGTATGCAACAACTTAATGAAAAGTCTCCCAAATGCCATTTCCTTTTCTCTCTCACTGGTCAGGAGGAGATGTCAAAATATACAAATGACTGATTTATAGAGGTGATGGATGACTTTACAAATGGAAGTCTACTCCGAATGTGAAGGGATGCACAGCTGCCTTATAGAAAAGGGTGGTGGTTTTCCATTGGCTGCTAACAGCAAGTAAGCAGGGGAGGCAGCTGAGGCAGCCTGACCAAGGACTGCACATTTCCACACACACCACTGTTGAGGATCTTTGCACACAGAAAACCAAGAGCTAACATGGTGGCTCTACTACTTAATATCTCTTACCATAGAAAGTCTATATATAGAATCCTCTGAGGCAGAGCAGTTAATAGAGAAAGGGGCAGCCCCTAATGTCCCGAGGGCCATGGATCCTGTGATCTGGATTCGGCAATTAGATTGCCTTTCTGCAACAGCAAGGATTTTCGCTTGGATAGCTGCAACAATTGGGTGCTTTTCCGTGTAGAAGAATCACTGTGGGTTTGAGCAAAATGTCAAAGCTGTTTCTCTCCTTTGGCCTAGTTCCCTGCTTCTCTCAGGTTTCAGTCCTGGATCCCTTGCTGTTTCCTACTATTGTCATCTTAATTGACATTCAGGTAGTGAGATCCGCGCCTGCCCCCAGCCCCAAAGTATTCACTGGTAACAAGGTATGCCTCTCTGGCTATTTGCATTTTATTAGGTGGTACTTTAGGTCTAAATAATAATAAAAGCTGACATATACTGAAGATGTACCATGAGCCAAGTGCTAGCTAACCGCCTTTCATGCACATTCTTGCTAATGCACAGAACTCAAAGTTGGGGCCTGCACCCAAGTCACTCAGTCAACAGTAAGTGGTGGAGCCGAGATTTAAAACTAGGAGACTTGATTCCAGAGTTAGGCTCTTGGGCATGAAGCATTTCTACCTTGAATGAAATTCCATCTGTGGAGTATCAGACAAGCCCTCGTGAGGAGGAATATATTTGGGGTCTCAGGAGCCTGCCTGGTCCACTTGGTCATAGACTGGTTTTGGCTCCCATGTGAAATGCATGGCAAATCTTTCTTGTAATGAGAACCTGTTGTTCTGGACAGCTGGCCCAACTTACTGCAGAGCCACAGGGCCCAGCTCTTCCCCACAGCTTTGAAGACGTCTGTTGCTAATGCAGACAGCCACACTGCCAGTTCTTAGGATACTTACAATACCAAGGCTACATTACCAGAGTCCACCCAACTGGCCCTTGTATCCAAATCATCACAGCACAATGTTATGTTAGTGCCTTCCACTGTTAGTAGGGAGGTTGCTGAAGAGCTTTTACATTCCAGAGAAAAAGATCAATAGTGTTCCTTAAATAAAATAATGAAGGCAAAAATGTTTACATCAGCCATTCAAAATAATTCTTGTTCCCTTTTCTCCAGATGCTATGCCTTTTTCACTACTCAACATGTAAAATGTAAGCAAGGTTAAGAATAAAAATACATATTTGGCCTTCTAGAAAGGTAAAGAAGTCTCTTAACTCACCTGGTATTTTTTAGTCTACCTTTGAACATTGTAATAAAGACACATACACACCAATACCTAAATATTGTTCTTATGTGTGAAAATTGTCTTTCTCTAGTTCCTGGTCCATTTGAGCAAGATCTTTTTTTAATAACTATTTAAAAGATTACAGTCCTCATATAAATTGCTGGTTTACCTGTCCATTGCTCTTTTGCCACCCTGTTCTATTCCAAGGGAGCCATCATTTGGGAGCCTCCGTAGCAGAAAGACCCAAATGTCCATGCCTGCAGTCAGGGATACACTCACGTTAGAGCAGTACTCCAGATCGAGCAATGTGCCTAACAAGTATTTGATACAAACCAAACTCTAGGTGTAAGCATTTTCTACTGCTAAATACCAAGCCTAGTTAGTCTAAATTACTGATGTGTCTGTTTATTTCTTTATTATTTAATCCTTGCCTATTTCCAGATTGGCTTTGAGACAATTCATAACATGAGCCATGCATATCATGGGGCCATTTAGTTGAGAGTAAATACTCAAGTGTTTTGGGGTAGAGTTTTTCTGCAAAATTAGACAGCTGTTCATTGCTGTGATTTGGCAATAAATATAGCTCTGAGCTTTCTGGCAGCCAAAGCCAAAAGGGAAAGATGATGAGTTATATAGGAATAATACAGCATTATAAAAGGAAATCATTCTTATTTTTTAAAATGGGCAAACTTTTTCCCATTACTAAAATTTAGGAGAATTTATCACATGTATCACTGAATAAGGGAGCTTGAACACCATAGTGGACAATATTTAATAATAGTTTTAGGGAAGACAGACATGTATTCTTCATGTAATAATTTCTCAGGTCAACCATCAATGAAAATCTGAGAGAGTGGAATCAAATTATAATCATCTAAGGTGGGCACTGGGTGACTCAAAGGTTAGGTGTCCGACTTTGGCTCAGATCATGATCTTACAGTTCGTGACCTCAAGCCCCACTTCAGTCTCTCTGCTGACAGCTTGGAGCCTGGAGCCAGGAGTCTGCTTCAGATTCTGTCTCCTGTTCTCTCTCTGCCTCTCCCCTGCTTGTGTTCTCTCTCTCTCTCTCTCTCAAAAATTAATAAACATTAAAATAATAAAAATATATAATTATCTAATGTTATTTCTGGTAACGATACAATCCTTTTAGTTCTAATCCACACGTAAACTGAGGTATTGCAAAGCTAAAATCTAGAAAACTTTCTAAAAACTGGATAACAAATAAATATATAACAATGAATGTAAGGAACTAAGTGGAATAAGCTATTAAACGGTTTATGAGTAACTGTGGAGGTAACCAGCAATCCTAGGGCCTTGTCTATATTCATGAACAACCCATTATGCAGGTCCTAGGGATGATGCTTACCTGCACTGGTTTCTCAGCAGAATTCCCCCAGCCCTGACATTTCAAAGTGGTGCTCAAGCGTGTCCACCAAGTGAGCAGGGTGCTAAGCTTGCCATCCCCATGCTATTCCTTTTATTCCTCCATCAGTTGGGTTTCCACATAAGATTTCATTTGAAAAAAAGATTTTTGTTGTTTTAAAAGAAATACATCTGTTTTTAGAAACATATTTTTTCTTTTTATCACCAAATTAATACATAAAGATTGAAAATTTAGAAAATATAGATTCACAGAAGGATATAATATCTGAATTACCTGTTTTCTTAATATTAATAACTACTATTAATATACAAGTATATGCATAGACATATATTTAATTAAATATATACATTCATACATAATACAATTATACTTTTTAAATTTGAAATAACTTGCTTTTTACACTTAAGAATTTATAGTTACTGTTTTTGTGACATTCTTCTTCTGTATTATTTAATAGCTGCCTATGATATGATAGCATATGATATGCTATGATATGATAGCATGCCATAATTATTCTCCCCTTCTTTTGATTGTTTATACTTTTAATATCATAAATATGATTGTCATGATCGTCCTTATAGACTGATGTATGCATTTCTATTGCTGGGTTAAAAGGAAGGCTAAAATTTTAATGTCTTGGAAAAACTCATCCAAATTATCCTCCAGAAAATTCATAACGCTTTAAACTTCCACAAACAAAGAGAACTCATTTACTTACATCTTTACCACACTAAATCTTACCCATCCATGCTAATTTGATAATCAGCTTCTATTTCATTGTGATTTACATTTATTATATTTGTACTGAGGAAAGCATTTTAGTTACATGTCATCGGCAATTTATATTTATTTCTCCTTTGGTGAGCTACCTATTTCTGCCCTTAGTCCTTTTTCCTACTGAGATGTTTATAGTTGTCACATTGAATTTTAGGAACTTTTTATTTACTTAAAAAATTAACCTTTTTCATATAAGCTATAAATATTCTACAACTTGTGGTTTTATCTTTTAAATGTGTTACATTTTGTTTGCTTAGTAAAGGAAAGGGATAGTATGGACATTTTCAAGGTTATGTGGATAATTTTATCTCCTCCTTAGAAAGCATAAGGTTATATTAATTTTTGCATAGAAAGCCCAAGTGTTGGGGCACCTGGGTGGCTTCGTCGGTTAAGCGTCCAACTTTCGCTTAGGTCATGATCTCGCAGTTTGTGGGTTCGAGCCCCGCATCGGGCTCTGTGCTGACTGCCAGCTCAGAGCCTAGAGCCTGTTTCAGAGTCTGTGTCTCCCTCTCTCTCTGACCCTCCCCTGCTCACGTTGTCTCTCTCTCTCTCCTAGAAATAAATAAAAATATTTAAGAAAAAAGAAAGCCCAAGTGTTTATTAACAATAATGTATACTTTCTTTTAGTAGGTTTGTTTTTGCATTGGAATCCAACTGGAATTTGTTTTGATATATAGTACAGGATATAGTAGGGACTTGATTATCTTCCTAGAAGTTATCCATTTATCCTAACACCCTTCAACTGTAACCTATGTATTTATGATATAATGTCCATGTCTGTAGGTACATATATGTGTATGCAGATTCTGGGTTTTCTATTGTAACACTGAGATTTTGGTCTTCACTGTTTTAATAATTTCACGGATGCCTGGGTGCCTCATTCCGTTAAGTGTTGGAATCTAGATCTTAGCTCAAGTCATGATCTCACAGCTCATGAGTTCAAGCCCTGCATTAGGCTCTGTGCTGATGGCAAGGAACCTGCTTGGGATTCTATCTCTCCTTCTCTCTGCCCCAATAAACTTAAAAAAAGAAATTTTAAAAATTTAATCTTTTCAGCTTCATTGTTCATTTTAATATCTAGTACATGAATCCCTCACTCCCCTTCCTCGTTTT